ACGTGACAACACATTCAGAGCCACAGTGTATTCATCAGAGGTAATTGGATTAAAAGCCTCTTAACGGGATTAATTCTATGTTTTACTGTGGAACTGAATTAAAAATTAGACCTGGACCCTTTTATCGGGTTTAAAAGGAAATTGATGTTTTGGGGACTCGGGATTACATTAATAATAAATTATTTTGTTTCTGTGCATTTTTTAATATATTTTTCTTATATACAGCTTTGATTTTAAGACCTTGATTTTTTGTGTCATTTACTTTGATTCATTTTGTTATCACATTTGTATTCTTCATCATCTTTTTATATATATTTATCGAAATATTCCAGTGCTAATTTTAATGATTTAGCTCAATATATTGATAATACTTATGAATACAATAAAGCATATTTCCTATTTTTTTCATTACTACTTCGCTAAATAATATCATTTATATTTTTTTTCAAATGCCCCCCCAATCTGCACAATTTTATCTGAATATTTATTATATTTTTAATGAATACATTATTGTAAATATTTTCATAAAAACAAAATATCTTCATAATAATTACAGAACATTAGATTTTATTGATTATATAATAATATTGTGGTATTGTTCATTAATATTTTTTGACAATTTCGCATTAGTATCTCCTAAAATAATATAATATTTTAGAAGTATGGATTTATCTATGTTTTTATAGCAGTATAAAAATAATCATAATTTATCAGATATTTAATTCGTTTTTTTCGGGGACAGGAAGCCCCGAAAAATATATATATATATATATATTAGGATATATATATATATATATATATATATATATATATATATATATATATATATATATATATATATATATATATATATATATATATATATATGACTTATTATTATTATATATATATATTATATTAGACAGGATATATATATATATATATATATATATATATATATATATATATATATATATATATATATATATATATATATATATATATATATATATATTAGACTTTAGGTTGGTAACGAGGTCTGCTTTATTAAGGTACAATTACTAACTATCCCAGGAAACAACCCAATAACTGCTGCCTAACTCCCGGATAACTATATATAGGTAGATGAAAAAGAGGCTTAATTCGAAAGGAAACGTGCCCAACCATTTCTTGTTCAGCCCGTGAATGGAACCTGGGATCCCGGATTGTGATTCGAGAATGAAGCCTTCAAATGGTACGGAATCAACCCGTCCTCTCGAGTACAGAAATAGTGTTACAGAAACACCTGTGCCTAACCTGTTCAAATTTAACTGAGCTACCCATAAATAGACTGAAACACATGTGAAATGATCCACATATGAGCCTCTGTGATTTATAGTATATCATTTTTTGTCTGTTGGGGATTTTGACGTCAAAATTAGATGAATTATTCGAGAGGATTTACTGAGTGAATAACCTATCCTCACCCAGTGGAGTGTCCAAGGATTAAATCCTTATCCCACTCACTTTAGATTTCAGTAATCAGATAAATTGGAAGGGATTATTTAATAGAATGTAATGATTTCACTGATCAAATGGTTATTGTCTATTTATGATTCGTTTCCACTTCACCAAGCTGGTAATATCAAATGGATTATTAACCACCAACAAAATCTTGATTAAATCACATTAATATATTTCTTTTAAAAGATATTTTAGCACATTAACTTACGCTGGTGTAATTCTGAGGACTATTTAATTTTTAACCGATTCCCATGTTTAAAAATATGATAAATATTACCTTTGATCATTTTTAAATGTTAACGATTTCGTTAAAAAAAATCCTTTTGAATTGGTTTAAATAATGTTATCTCCACAATGCTTCATCAAAAAAGCAGCCGTTACATAAATTGATAACAAGCCCCCATGCCATCCCTCTGGTCATTCCATTAAACTCGCATTAAAGTTGAGAGGAATAACCATGCATAATTGAACCTTTCAGGCGGGCCGGGGCGCGCCCCCCTCCCTCTGAACTCTTAATGCAACAGCAACTGAAAGCCTTGCGGTGAGAGACCTGGGCGATTTTCCAGGGATGGGAACGACGTAACAAGATAAGATTTACTCAGCCATTTTTGTTCTGCGAATATTGTGGCTGGTGCTTCCACGACCCAGAGGTTACGAGGGAGGGCCACAGAAGAGGATTAAAATTGCTTATGCCTTTTATTGCTGCATGCAGTGGTGCAGGTGTGAAATAATAAAAAAGACAGTCTTGTGAAACAAATAAAGAAATGAAGTACAGAGATGTACGAGTAGATGAATGTTTCAACTGATAAAGCTGTAATGTTTCAACTGATAAAGCTGTAATGTTTCAACTGATAAAGCTTACATGTGAAAGGATTCACATGTAACCTCGTTCGTTAACGTTGTTATTGTGTTTTTTTTTATATTGCTACAACGTTTGTTTACATTGTTAGAACGTTTGTTTTAATTAACGTGTCGCAAGATCTGGGGGTTGATATCACACTGATCCTGTCCCCAGAAGCCCACATCCAAAGGATATCAACAGCGGTATGTACTAGATTGGCCAACATAAGATCTACCTTTAGAAACTTGTGTAAAGAATCATTCAGAACCTACTATACCACTTATGTTAGACCAGCCCTAGAGTATGCAGCTCCAGCCTGGAATCCATACGTAGATAAACTCAAGACAAAGTTAGAGAAGATTCAAAGGTATAACACCAGACTAGTCTCAGAACTAAAAGGTATGAGCTACGCGGAAAGGCTACAGGAGCTAAACCTAACGTCCCTAGAAGATAGAAGAGTAAAGTAAGACATAATCACTACCTACAAAATTCTCAGAGGAATTGTCAGGGTGGACAAAAACCAACTATTAAGCTTGGGTGGAACTCGAACAAGGGGACACAGGTGGAAATTTAGTACCCAAATGAGCCACAGATACATTAGAAAGATTGTTTTCAGTATCAGAGTAGTTAAAAATGGAATGCATTAGGCAGTGATGTGGTGGAGGCTGACTCCATACACAGTTTCAAATGTAGATTTGATAGAGCCCAATAAGCGTCATAATCTGTACACCAGGTCATTGACAGTTCAGAGGCGGAGGCCAAAGATCCAAAGCTCAACCCTCACAAATTTCCATTGCTGCTACGTTTTTCTACATTTCTACGTTTGTTTACATAGTTTGAACTTTTTATTACACAGCTACAAAGTTTGTTTTCGTTGTTACAACCAATTGTTTATATTTGATTCAATCTTTGGTTACTTTTCTAACACATTTCTTTATTTTGCTGCAACTTTCTCAACAGTGTTACAACATAAATGTTTTGTAAGAAGAAGAAATTGATGTTAGGTTTTGCATTTGCTGGGAAACAATCGGTGATATAATAAGCTTACAGAAATATGGTATCATTCACTAACATTTTTCCCGCATAAATTAATGTTAAATTTGTCCATTGCATAGGGCAAAGTCTATTGCATTTCCAGATGTGGTGCATAGTACTTAGAATGAGACGCGGTCTCCTCGTAAAGTAAAGTTGGGCAATAATGTACTATAGATCATCGGATAGAACAGTGAACTTTCTGGGCGCAGATTCACGAAGCAGTTACGCAAGCACTTACGAACCTGTAAATTTTGTCTTAATCTTTTGCGGCTTTGTTTACAATTATTAAACAGTTAAGGAGCTCTGAAGCACCAGAAGGTTGTTTATAATAATAACAACAGTTGACTGGGAAGTTTTGATGCTTGTAAACTGTTTAATAAATGTAACCAAAGCCGTCAAAGATTGAGGAAAGACGTACACGTTCGTAAGTACTTGCGTAACTGCTTCGTGAATCTTTCCTCTGGTTAGCGAATGGTTATTGACCAAAACCATTAATTGTGAATGTCTCTTTGACACCGGGTTGTCTGTCTGTCTGTCTGCCTGCCTGTCGGTCTGTCTGCCTGTCTGTCTGTCTGTCTGTCTGTCTGTCTGTGTCTCTCTCTCCTCTCTCTCTCTCATACATTTATATCTTAACTAACATACCCCGCCTCCCCACGTGCGTGTCTCCCACTAATGTAAATATGACCATTAGTCTGGGTGTGTGTGGTAAAGACGTGGAGGTCAGCGAACAAAGCACGGGGTCACTCCCCTTCTCCTCCATAATAATGATCTCCTCAGCTCAGACGCCCTCTCTGAAAACACCATGTTATCTGGCAACTGTCCTTGATTGATGATCTTGTTACTTCTGGCTCATCTGCTGCTATCTCTCTCTCTCTCTCTCTCACTACACGTAAAATGGAAGCATAAAATAGCATAACAATGAGGTCTATATCACTGCATTTCCTCTCATTTTTATCATCTCATTGCCCTCGTTCTTATCACATCATTTCCCCTCTTAGTGATGTCTCATTAGCGATTCAATAAAATTTTCTGTAATGCTATCACCAGTAGATTTGAAGCCAATTAAAAACCTTACTGCCTCATTAATTCAGAGATGTTTCAGTTCAGGATCAATGATAATTATGTATATAATTAGTATTGGGCATCGTGATATAAGAATATTTTATTTAATTGGCCGATCTCAAATGCAGTGTTTAGTTTAAAAGTTTTATTGGTCTGTATTTAATATTATTTGCCTGCATCTATTTAAGTGTTAAATCTTAAAGAGACAGTGAGCGTTTGGAGGAGATGTGTTGTATTATCTGATGTATTTTGATATCGTCTGTAGTCTTAGCTTGATGACTGTTTTCTCTCGTATCAAGATCATAAAATATAATGTATGCAAATAAAAAGATCTCAGGAGAGAATCAATAGACTTGCAACTTGTATATTTCACCAGTTAATTTAATTCCATTTTAGGTCGTTTCTCAAGGATTCTATAAAATTTGTTTTATTAACAACCAATAAACATACATATGGACCTACAAGTGTATAAAGAAACACTATTACGCACGTGGCTTATAATACCGAATTTAAATATATTAAACATGAATAATTACAAAACACAATTAAAAATGGTAATTTTTTTTTCTGTCTCCCTCAGCCGGGCCGCTGTTTCAAGCCCACGTAGAGAAGGGAGGGAGAGCAGAGATGCCGTGTGATGTGGTCACCGCAGACTCCACTGACAGAGTCGTTCTTGTGCTCTGGTACAAGGACGGAGTCGGAGCGCCCATTTACAGGTAGGTTCCGCCCCCTCAGTCACCTGGTACATCAATGATGATTCTGTCATCATCACAATATGTGTGATAACTCACACATATTCTGGTGGTAAATGATACCTGATATTTATATACCATATTCTTAGGGCGTGTTTTGTGTTTATATAGTCTTTGGAATTTTGAAAACATTGACGTCTGTTCCTTCAGCGATATTTTCTCTATAACGTCACTTATATTTATATATTTAATCCTTTTAGTTTTATCTTTTATTTATTTATAAAGTCTATAAACTTTATATTTATAAAGTTTTATCTCTACACACTCTCCTCCAGTTCCATCTTCCCCTCCAGTTGGAGAAGTGAGTGTAAACATAAAGACCAATGCAAAATAACGAAGACATTCTGAGGCGGATTTCCACGACTTTCTGAGAGTGCTCTGAGCTCGAGGAAGGAAGGGGAGGGAAGGATTATACCAGTGTGTTGCTGCTCACTTGAGGCCGTGTTGATCTTGGAGGCAAGGCCGTCGGGGGAGTGGTGGTCGAAGCCGTGACTGTAGAGTTTTGTTATGGTGGTGACTACTAGTTTTGTGGTGGTATAGAGATGATTATGCTCTTTCGTGGTGCTGGTGGTGGCGATGAGGGGGACTTTTGTGGAGGTGGAGGGGGACTTTTGTTTGATATTGGGATTATTTTTTGGGCTAGTGGTTGCAGCGGTGGGGACTTTTTTGGAGGTGGTGGTGGTGGTGATATTGAGCTTTTTTGGAGGTGGTGGTGGTGATAGTGGGATTTTTTGGTGGTAGTGGTGGTGTCAAATAGGTGAAGTTTGGTACTGAGGACAGTTTTAAGTGAGATTGTTAGATTGTGTCCAGCGATGGTGCTTCCTATACCATTAGCAGTAATGGTGGAGTCAGTGAAGCGATAGTGGTGGTGGGGAGGGTGACGAATGGTGTATTTATAGTGATATTCGTAGTGGTTATGGGTTTGCATTGATTTTGATGATGGTAATATGGTTGGTGAGACTGGTGGAGATAGTAGTAATCATATTGTGGGAGTGATAATAGTGATTGGGGTGAATTTGGAGGTGATGATTTTGGTTGAGTATGGTTGTGTGTATAGTGAGGGTGGTATAGGAAGCGGTGATGCTTTGAATACTGATGATATCGGTATGAAATTGATATCGGTGTCAGTAGCGGTGAAATTTGTTGGAATGATGGTGAAGATATGGATGGAGATGGTGATATTACGAGTTTGCATAATGAAAATAGGGGTGAAATAACAATTGGAGATGATATCAATAGTGACGGTGGTGATATTAGAGATATCAGAGCAAATGTTGGATATGATAACACATAATAGATGGTTGTGGTGATAACAAAAATGTTGGATATGATAACAATAAAGATTATGAAGGCGATAATCATGATGAGGATGGTGATGATATTATAGCGAGGATAGTGAATTATTTAAATGATGGATGCTTGCCTCTGAGTTCCGGCTCCGGACCAGGCCTCAGGTCTGGCCAACCAGGCTGTTAGACCCCGCAGCTCACAATTGTCAATAATAATATTGACTCATGTGGTTATGGTATCAGTGCCACCGTTCTCTTGACTTGCCACTGCGTACAAAACAGAAGGTGCTAACTGAACGTCAAACACACGTACCAGAGCATTCAATCTAAAATAACCAGACCTAACATAACAAACTGATGCATAGAAAACGTGGATATTTGTACTCACCTAGTAGGGTTTGCTGGGGTTGAGCTTAGGCTCTTTGGTCCCGTCTCTCAACTGTCAGTCAACTGGTGTACAGGTTCCTGAGCTTCCCGAGATCTATCATATCCACAGGTGATACAATGTATGGAGTCTGCCTCCACCACATCACTTTCTAATGTATTCCAGCTGCTACTTTTCACGGTACTTTCTAATACACACGTTTGGGACCAAAACGTACAAAATGAGATGTACTATAGTTAAGAGGACGTGTTCAGAATGGTAGTGGGTTGGTTGTAACTTTATATCGCATCAATTTCAATAATGCTCAAGGTCTTCTATGAGAAAAGATAAAAGATGGAGCTGTCACGCATTGCCCAATAACCCTTGAGCAATTTAATATATTACTCTTTACTTATATATATCTTATTTATGTAATCTAAAAATGAATCGCGGGTTTCATCATCATCATCATCACCTGAGTGTCATCATGGTTGCTGCACCTTCAACTCCTATCTGATATGGGAGTCGATATAGATTGATATATATCCAATATATATATACAGTGACACAAAAGGAGCTTTTCAAAGTGGGAGGCACCAACTAAGCACTCTGTGAGAGGGATTCTCTCCAGAGTGCCAAAGATATCAAAAGAACTCTACCACAGAAGCGTCAAACTCTCACTGAATTTCTCACTGTCAAACCCTAAAAATTTTTAGGTTTCAAATTACTTGCCAGTATTGTTCCGAAACGTTTTTTTGTTTTAACTGTCCATTAGCTGGCCTTTTTTTTCAGATGCGTATTATTATTTTTTTGTTTATAAACAGTGAAATAATTACTTGTCCTGGAAGCCACAGCAGACGTGCTGCTGTGCTTCCCACATAGGAAAATATGACATGTTGGTGTAGAGCAATGCAGAGCACGTACGTATCCAGGTGTGAGATTGCTCATCGACCCCCCCTCAAAAGAAGAGTTAGACATTGATTTTGACTCTGGATGTCTCCCCATCCCTTAGATTCCCGATATATATATATATATATATATATATATATATATATATATATATATATATATATATATATATATATATATATATATATATATATATATAATCAACATATCTCACACAACTCACGTCATTTTTTACACCATATCAACCCTCGTCTCCCACGAAAATGATGTCGTCCTCTCCCGTTTCCAAGCTACGACTCCAGAAAGCACAGCGTTCTCGAGGCCAGAAACTGGGCGGACGAGAAGACCTTGGGAGGACGTGGACACTTCGACCTAAAGTCCACGCCGGCGTCGCTTGTGCTCGACAACGTCAGAGCCTCGGACGAGGGCCTCTACCGCTGCAGAGTTGACTTCAAGAAGAGTCCCACTAGAAACGCTCGAACTAATCTCACCGTTATTAGTAAGTTCACTCCATCGTCGGCCTCCTGTAATAGTAGGACACTAGCTCCTTGTGTTAAATGTCAAATACGAGAGAGAGAGAGAGAGAGAGAGAGAGAGAGAGAGAGAGAGAGAGAGAGAGAGAGAGAGAGAGAGAGAGAGAGAGAGAGAGAGAGATGAATTACAAGCAGTCTCAAGCCATCAATCATCGGCAATTGCAGCAGTTGGCTTTGACAGCCATCATCATCCCCCATCTCTATCTTCCTGAGTCTCCAGCAGTTAGTCCCTTTATTCTCACCGGACGGCAATGCTCCCTCAGGCCTCCTGAGATTGTGGCTATTGACTCACAATGTAATTTGATATTAATCTCAAAAGACCATTTCCTCCTCTCACACACACACAAATACTCTCTGCCTGTCTGTCTGTCTCTTCCACTTTTACCTGATCCAAGGAAATAACTTCGTATAAAATCATTTCCATTTGACCTATTGTCCCATGCGAGACAGCCTGCCTTTAAATCCATCTCCACCCATTTGTTTACTGGTCCACACCATCCATCTTTTCCACCTCATCCATCTTACCCAAATTATCCAAACTGTCTCTCTTCGCTTGCTTCTATAATGTATCTTGGCCACTTTCCCACAGACCATCAAATCCTATTTACGTCAGAGTACCTTCATATCAATTTACCAAATCTAAATTTCTCCAATTTAAAATCTTTGTTTTATTTCTCAGTAGTTTTGTCGAAGGAATGTAAGTTAGGCATTCATAGTCTCTTTCTTCATAAGGGATTTTTATAATTCCTTGGATTACCTTACTTTTGGAATTTTACTTAGATTAACACATCTAGGGGATTTGTTTGGGATTTTACTTTGCTTCTCTTGCCATTCACATTTCATTAATACAGTTTTGTTCCATTTAGAAATGAGTAATAGTTCATGTTGTTTTAATAACATATATTTATTTAGATAATATTTTCTTTGCCGACGACTGTACAAATCTCATAATTTTTTTCTCACGGAAAATTATTATATTTAAAAAACAACAAAATTCCTGAATCATTAAATTCAGGGAGACTAACGATTATACTAATGATAGTGAAGATGGTGGTGGTGGTAACGATACTGTAAATGGGGTATGTATTAAATTATTTTTCTACATGTAATTCTCCAGTATCATATATATTTTCCTGTTGAGATGTAAATCATAAACTTACATATCTCTTCCAGAAACTGTTCGTCCTCCCACACACGTAGGTGATATAATTGTAAGTTCATTCTGTAACGTACTGAAGATCTGGTTTATCTTTCTGGCAGTTCCTCCGCACGAGCCTACCATCTTGGCGGAGCAAGGCGGGCCACAGGTATGGACCATGGTGGGTCCTTACAATGAGGGCGAGTCAATGACCCTTACTTGTGAGGTTAATGGTGGTGAGTATCTCTCTCTCTCTCTCTCTCTCTCTCTCTCTCTCTCTCTCTCTCTCTCTCTCTCTCTCTCTCTCTCTCTCTCTCTCTCTCTGTATATATTACATACATATATATATCCTTTATGTCATCTGTGTCTAACTCTCTCTCGTATATCCAAAAACAGGAATTCTATCATAGTCAAAAGGAGAATCTTGCATGCATCTTCTCATCAATGATAACTTCATTAGTGCTATAATCATCGTATGATTGAATTATTCACTCCAAGACTCACACGCAAGCATAGTCTCGGATGAAACATAATAGATATTATAGCAAGCGTTGTCGTAATCTATCGTGCATGCTCAACGGCAGATAAAAGAAGAGGTGGCAAATAAAACAAAGATTAGATGGAAAAGTCATATATATGTATTACACAAACGAAACGCAACTAGAGCAAAAAGTGCCCACACAATGCACGTATTGTTGAAAATTGCATTTGCAATATTTGTTACTGAACCTATGTTGTTTCATAGCACACATAAAAATTTCAGAAATATTTATATGTTTAGCAAATATACCTTTCATTCACATACTCGCAAACAAAGTCTGCTTGCTTTCCTCTCTGCCGCTGGTCATGTGTCAAGCGAGGTCGACCAACATAGAGCAGGATAACAACAGAGTTTGCACATTAAACACGAAAAAAGTTGCAATGTTAAAAATATAAAAATATGTTGCATAACACCACGATGGTGAGGGAATTATAAATTGTTTCGACTCAAGTAAAATTTCTGCTCTATTAATTTGTCAGTGTCATTTAATGGTTTAAGTTTAAGTTATTAGTTAAAGCTTTCATGTTATGTGGTGTACTGTTGTATCTCTTTATGTGTCTTCCCAAAAATATCTACTCAGAATGTCTTCAAATATAATTTAATCAAATTCACTCAAATAATTGGCAATAAATAACTGTTTTTTTAAATAACTGCAAATCATCAAATAGAAATTGCTATTAGTCGACAAATATTATTTACACACGCACACACACACGCACACACACACACACACACACACACACACACACCCACACACACACTCTTCCTCATCCCAGGTAACCCAGCATCCATCCGCCGTCCTCTCCCACAGGTAAGCCTCCGCCCCGCGTCACCTGGTGGATGAAGGGGGAGATGATCGACGACACGTTCGAATCCCCACGCCCACACACCGTCACCAACACCCTCATACTGGAACACCTGACTCGAGGCCACCTCCACGCCATCCTAGTGTGTCGGGCGTCGAACAGCAATCACAGTGTCCCTGCCCAGACCTCCATCACCATCGAGATGAACTGTGAGTATTAAAAGGGGGGTATTGATACCCCTGAGCTGTCTTGGGTTATCTCGGATATCTGTTCACTATTCACGATATCAAAAACTCTATATACACACACACTCGCGATCTTCACTTAATGCATTCGTCACTAAACATTTTATTCACTACACACACATTCTTCACTACATACGATCGTCACTACACCTCCGGTAATCACTTGATTATTATGAGATTTGAGTAATACCTCTGCTATCGAGTTTTGTTGACATTTAAAGTTCATTCAATTAAAAAACGGATCAAATATCAAACATTTTAATATGCCATGTCAAAATATTAATGAGCGAGATTAGAAGGACATTAGCTATTCGCACTATAATTAGTTTTATTTAGTAGGTAAGCAACATCAAACTGGGTCGAGCACATCGGTGTAAGCATTTCAAAAAATGTTTTTTGCAATATTGGAAATGGATTTATGGCACAATGAATATATTAACGCGTGTTACCTGAGAAGGAATATTACGTTACGGGAGGAAATATCGTCATAGATGTTAGGTCATTGCTGATAAAGGTGTAAAACACACACACACACACACACACACACACACACACACACACACGCACACACACACACATACACACACGTGCTCTTGATCCCTCCTCCCCCCCCCCCTGAGTGGGTTGTCTAATGCAATGAGTTCTAAATTGTTTTATTGTCATATCTAGTTGATAAAGAAGTTTAGAGTATTTCCCCACTGATACAGCTCACTGGCCTAATGCTCTTAAGTGTAAAGCCAACTGCCCATGAGTGCATGGGCAGTTGGCAATTGAAGTGAACTATAAGGACATCAGAAAGAGGCTACCTCCATTCTCGTTTTAAAAGCAGATTTATAAAACAATTGTAACAATCAGAAAAAAACAGTTGAAAGCCATTTCATTAGACGAGCGACATTTGAAATGGTGGTGTTTAGGAGCTGAAGCCCAATCCTACGTACTATATTAGGTTTTGACTACTAGGTGAGTATTCATACCCAAGCGTGTTGATCAGTTACATTCCCTGTAGTTGCAAAATACAGGGGCAGTAACACAGACCCTGATCGGTATTTGCTTCGTTACATGACAGGTTAAACTTTAAGGAATTGAAATTACTACAGTTATATATATCCTCATTACATATCAACTTCAAGCTATATTCTATCTACTTGTAATTAATGCAGAAGCTATAACAGAGGTTAGCTACCATACATACACAATACTCATATTGACCAGACCACACACTAGAAATTGAAGGGACGACGACGTTTCGGTCCGTCCTGGACCATTCTCAAGTCGATTGTCATACTACGGTCACAGCCACCCACTGTGACAAGGACAAATTCCACTGTTTATGAGTTTAGTGTATTTCCCCTCAGATACCTTCAAGTCCATCTCCAACTCCTTGTTTTAATGCTGATTGTAATGTATTTTCCCCCCTCTGTCTCCACCTCCCAGAGCTGTCAAGCCGCTGTCAATGATGGCATTGTTGAACACCATCTATATTACATGTCTAATGCTGTTGGTAAATTTATGCTCGCTTTTTTCCCCTCTCTCTCTCTACCTGTGCAGTTAAGCCGCTGTCGGTGAAGATCTTGGCGTCCCGCGAGGCCATCTCTGCCGGGAAGGAATACGAGTTGGTATGTCAGAGTGTCGGGGCGCGACCGCCAGCCTCCCTCACCTGGTGGCTTGATGGGGTCCAGCTCACCAATGCTACCATCTCTGTAAGTGCTGGCTGAGGGCGGGAATGGAAAGTGAGAGGGGAGGGTTAGAGGGTTTAACCCCAATATAGGTTAGGGGGTTAGGTTAGGAAGGGCTATAGGAATGAAGTTGCAAAGGGGGAGGAAAATTGTTTAGAGGTGTGTGTGTGTGTGTGTGTGTGTGTGTGTGTGTGTGTGTGTGTGTGTGTGTGTGTGTGTGTGTGTGTGTGTGTTAAATTTTCACTTATTGCATTTTGTGTTTTGCTTTATTTCGAATTGTAAGTTCACTTCAACTACGTTCTCCTTGTATGGTATTTATTCCTACTTCAGGTTCTACAAGTACTTGTTTGGTTTATTGGTACTTTGTGTACATTCCAATACCATCTAACTGGCCCCCAACTGAAAACACCTGCTCATATTTTCATTGCCCATCAGAAACCAAAGCCTGCATCCGCCAGTTATCTTCTACGTCGACTGTAGGCAGATATTCATTTTACTGCCGGCAGGGGATATCACACCCCCGCTGATGCATGTTATATCTTTTCAGACCAGTTATGAAGAAGACCATTCAAGGGAATTCACTCTGATCCTCCAACCAAATGGGCCGGACGGTAGAGCGACGGTCTCGCTTCATGCAGGTTGGCGTTTAATCCCTGAACCTCCAAGTGGTTGGCCACCATTCTTTCCCCCCGTCTCATCCCATATCCTTCTCCTGACCCCTTTCAAATGCTATATAGTCGCAATGAATTGACGCTTTCTTGTTACGGGCTCACCATAGCCCGTGCTACACGGACACTTCGTTCTGAATAGCTAAATCTAAAACAACAACGACGCTTTCCCTTGATAATTCCCTTCCCTTCACCCTGAGCCTTGACTTGGGTAGGACCTGTGACGTAACTAGACTCATCACAAACAGGCCCAACCGCTTGGACGGTCGGGGATTGAACGCCGACCTGTATGAAGCAAGACCTTCACTCTACCGTCCACTGCAAGTGGTGATGCCTGTTTGTGTATCTAAGGATGGAAGTCAAACGTCTGTGGCTAACCTCTCTCAACATCGCAAGGAACAAATGCCTGGTCCTGTTAGCCAGAATTCTAGAAAGAAAAGCTTGCCAGGGTCACATTCTGATTCCCACGACGATTTTTGACACTCCCAACAAGCTACAACTAGCTAAATATTTTTTTTAAATATAAATCTTATAATTTTAATACATAAAAGAAACGATTCTTAAAACATAAAGAAAGGGGGGATTGTTTGGAGAGAGGGAAGGGGGGAGGGGAATATATGAAGAGTGGGGAGGAAGAGAGAGGGAAAGTGAGGGAAGAATTGGGGGGGAGGAGATAATAGGAGAAGGCATGTAGTAATGATGGTGAAAGGTAGGGAAGATGGTGAAGGGTGTTGGGGGGTGGTGATGAAGATGGAAGGTAGTGACGGATAGGGAATCTGTTGAAGGACAGAAAAGGTGGTGGCGATATCTGTTGTAGAGAGAGAGAGAGAGAGAGAGAGAGAGAGAGAGAGAGAGAGAGAGAGAGGGAGAGAGAGGAGAAGAGAGAGAGAGAGAGAGAGAGAGAAGAGAGAGGGAGAGAAGAGAGAGAGAGAGAGAGAGAGAGAGAGAGAGAGAGAGAGAGGGAGAGAGAGAGAGAGAGAGAGAGAGAGAGAGAGAGAGAGAGAGAGAGAGAGAGAGAGAGAGAGAGAGAGAGAGAGAGAGAGAGGGAGAGAGAGGGGAGAGAGAGAGAGAGAGAGAGAGAGAGAGAGAGAGAGAGAGAGAGAGAGAGAGAGAGAGAGAGAGAGAGAGAGAGAGAGAGAGAGAGAGAGAGAGAAGGGGTGTTGATGAAATGAAAGACAAATCAATCCCTTACCCAAAGATCCTTGAAAAGTTATCTTCAACTCTCTCTCTCGCTCTCTCTCTCTCAATCAAACTTGAGAAAATACCTATTATCCACTAATCCCATCAATTGTGAAAATGCGATTAATATCTCCTTTGTCAGCGAGCGAAGCGTGATTCCATCCTGATAATCGGATTCTCCGTTTTCCAATTCCATTCTTTTCAATTCTCCGTTTCTTGCATTATGTAATTATTACGTATCTCTTGATTTATTTTCGTCAGCTGGTTTTTTTTAAGACAGTTCATTCAGTTTTCTTTCCTCCATGTCAGTGTTAATTTTCAAATTTCTTTGTACAGGTTATTTCCTATTTTCTTTTTTAATTCATTTCGTCTTCAAAGTTGAGAGAACGAGGTAATTATTAGCTAAAGGCAAGTGTTTACTTTGCTAAAAATTATATGTTTCACTCTATGTCATTCTTTCTTTATCCCTTCCTTCCTTCAGTCTCTCCATATTTCCTTGCTTCGTTTCGTATTCTCTTATTTCTATTTTTAGCTATTTCTAGAAATAGCTCCTTATTTCATTTAAGGAGCTCCGCTTCCTTAATTCTTTCTGCTATGTTTTGGTCTTTCCTCTCGTGCATTTCTTTCATGTTTCCTCTATTTCATTCATTTAATTCTGTCTTCATTTCTCCTTCTTTGCTCGCTATGCAATTGTATTTCCTCCATTTGTGTTATTCCTCGTTCCTTACTTCCCCACCCTCTCTTGTCAATCAATTTTTCATTCTCTTTGTCTATATTTAGTTTAGTGTACATTTCGTTTTTCAACAGTTTTTCTTATTTCTTAATTCTCTTTTATATACATTTAAGTAAAGCATCTTGTTTTCATGTTTTTTCTTTTATGGGAAAGACTTTTATTTCAACATTCTCTTGTGAGTTATCTTGTTTTAGTCTGACCCTTCTCTCTATGATTTTCTTTACGAGTTTACATATATATATATAATATATATATATATATATATATATATATATATATATATATATATATATATATATATATATATATATATAATGATTTATTATTTTACATATATCATTAAGCATGAAAAAAATTATATTTTCAGTTTCCTTAGTTTTAGACCCTCTTTAAAAAAATATACATACATACCAATAGAGGGAGCTGAAAAAGACCTATTGGCATATACTAGTCACCTCTTACTGAACCCCCCTCCCCCCCTCCAATCCAGCCCAAATCATTGACACGTGTGTATAGACTACGCTAGAAACACTCCAGGGATCTAACACCCGTTACGTTTAACGCGTGATCTGTGACCTGACTCAATCTTCCTGTTTCTCTCCCTTGGACAGACCGCCAGCAACGGGAACGTGACGTTAAGTAAGCTGCTCCTGGTGCCCAACGACTCCGACGGCGGCAAGTTCCTCAAGTGTTTGGCTGAGTCCCCCGTCATCGACCACAGACCCTTGCAGGACCAGTGGAAACTCGACGTTCAATGTGAGTTGCCCCGCGTGTTCCGAACCCGACTCGCTTTTTCCGAGGCCGATACGCTGGCACGGACGCCGATAACCTGGCTCCGAGGCCAAATCAATTTAAAAACTTACTTAACATTGAAGCAATGAGGCAAATCCTCATTTGCCTATGAGGCAAATCCTCATTTGCTTATGAGGCAAATCCTCATTTGCCTATGAGGCAAATCCTCATTTGCTTATGAGGCAAATCCTCATTTGCCTATGAGGCAAATCCTCATTTGCTTATGAGGCAAATCCTCATTTGCCTATGAGGCAAATCCTCATTTGCCTATTATCACCTTCCACAACGGCGCTGGCACGGACGCCGATAACCTGGCTCCGAGGCCAAATCAATTTAAACACTTAACATTGAAGCAATGAGGCAAATCCTCATTTGCCTATGAGGCAAATCCTCATTTGCCTATGAGGCAAATCCTCATTTGCCTATGAGGCAAATCGTAAGATATTGCAAATATGGACTATGTTAGGTCTTGGATAGGTTCCGCTACACCTCGAGAGACTTTATTTTAGTCGCTATCATTTAATTTTTATTTCTTGATATCTGGCTCGGAGCAAGTTTTAAATTTTCAGTGCTTCAGGATACGTACTGTTATCTATGTACAACAGTATACGCATTTATACAAAGGCAAGTCAGTGTGTGTATCATATATTTAAGAGTCGTGATTTAGTTTCCCTTCAATGCTCAGGTAAAACATAATTTTGCTACCTACAGCTTGAGAGGAATAGTCAACGTGATAGGCAAGGAAAGCCTTTCCCCTTCCGTGTCTGAGGGAAGAGTTAAAGGAAGGGGAGCTTCCCTTCTTTGCCCTCTCAAGGTTCAGATGGAAATGTCACCAAATTTCTGCTTCAGTCATGGTAAATACGTTTCTATGCCGATCCTTCCCATTCCCTGAAGCGCCATACATCTTACGCTCTTTTTCTTCGGCGGTATATAACACAACACGTCGACTCTTACGGTATATAACTCTTGCGGTATATATATATATATATATATATATATATATATATATATATATATATATATATATATATATATATATATATATATATATATATATATATATCAGCTAGGGATAGTGAAGGTTTATTTTCCCTAGAGTTGCAGGGACGGTCGTAACGTTCCGCTTGGCTCTCCAATCGCCCGTTAAACCACACGAGTGATGATCGAATAATGCAAGTCAAGACCAAACTGGGATTTACGAGGCTGAATTTAATGTCCAAGTTAACAGAGGCGGGTTTATTATATAGAGTGTTGATCTGGGGTTTAACAACGAACCTTATCTTTATGCGGTTTATTTATGATGTAAAGTTATGACTTTAGCAACGCTTATCTTTATTGAAAGATTTTTTTTTTTTGCATAATATTTCGACATTCGTAGAGATTTTAGGTGTAATTCATCAATATACTCGTTGTTTAGGAAACTATTTTGATGTTAGACTCTCCAGTAGTTTCATTACATTCATGTTGCTGTGAAAATATCCTGTGATGACCTCATGTTATGAGGTCTTTCATTCTGTGGGTTGTGACCCCTTGTGTGGATATGCCGTTACTTCCTTGTCATAGTGGCTCACTCGTGTAATTATGTATCCACTTTGTAATTTGTCCATTCCTAACTGTCTCAACCCCTAAGAGTGATTCACACCCACTCCTCTCTCTCTCTCTCTCTCTCTCTCTCTCTCTCTCTCTCTCTCTCTCTCTCTCTCTCTCTCTCTCTCTCTCTCTCTCTCTCTCTCTCTCTCTCTCTCTCTCTCTCTCTCTCACTCTCTCTCTCCCTACACTCTCCTTTCTCTTAAGTTTTCCCACACATGACTCTCTCTCTTCCACTGCTCTTCTAATGTTTCTCACCTACGCTCTTTACGACCCCTAACTTTTCCTAAATGATTCACCCTACGCTATCCCCTTCAACTCCCATAATCTAGCCCCACATAATGTTTCTTATCTCCGCTATGTCCCCTATTATATGGAAGGTATTATTTGCCCGACCCGGGATGCCTAACAGCTCATGATTGCCTCATTAAGGGGGATTATCTCAGTAAGATTCATCGTCCCAATCATAATCGAATCACCTCATTGTATGAGTAAAGCTCTAATATTTACACTCACACACACACATTCAAAGAGCCAGTATGATCAATGATTATCTTTTCTCTCTGCCAACAGATGTTCCACAAGTCTTTCTAGCAATGGGAAGAAATTTGAGTCCAGAGGAAATTAAAGAGGGAGACGACGTGTATTTTGAGTGCAATGTGAGGGCCCATCCATACGTGTACAAGGTTCTCTGGTACCATAATGTAAGTGGAAACGTGTTGGTTCGCAGGCTGTTCTGTTCCACTGTGATGGTTCACGAGATGTTTTCTTCTTTTTGAGATTAATCGCACACAGTACACCACAGCACACACACACACACACACACACACACACACACACACACACACACAACACCAACAAACGTCCCAGAATCCTCATGATGGAACCCCTTATCCTTTCTCATTTGCTTCGGCAGATGTGTAATGCACAAACATTAAAGTCCTGTTTAGCTTCAACTGAAATCCTACTTAAACTTTCTGGGGCTTTTCTGTGCAATTTCGAGCTTCCAAAAGAGAGTAATCACTTTCTTTTGTTTTTCTTTTCATCTTCTATGTCCTTTTCCATCTACTTCTTCTTCTTCTTCCTGTTTCGCTTTTTCAACATCCAGTAAACACGGCTTGACTACTCCAAGAAATATACTTCAAGGAATATAGTTTTCTTAGATATATTCCCTTTTCTACTTTGCGTTCGAAATCTGAATTTTTCTCTTGAATTACATCTATTTTTTGTCGTCTTGGAAATAGCTGTATGCATTTTTAGTTGCCTAGTCGTGCAAAGTATTGTTCATTTAAATTTGTGTAATGTAATGTTGGAAACATGTAATATTTTAGAGAAGACGCAGAAACGGTGCTCGCTTAGATCACTGTCATTTATTTGGCAGAGAAAAGTCTAAGGTGTTTTCTCCCCTCTGAAAAATATTTAGCAACGTACTGGAGAATTATTTGAGCCATGTGAAGTTTTGGACCAAAAAGACTGGAGAAGTATTTTGAAAGTACTAATAATATTTATGCACAGCTGATTAAGAGTATTGTAAATAGGATTTATATATTGTTATGATCTAATTTTTCTCCTCTCTTTATTCACGTATTTTTGAAAGTGTTTTCAAAATACTTTGAGTAAAAGTATTACGATATATAAAAGTATTAAGAGAAGATGCAATTATTATTGCATCTTTAATTCCTCGTCATTTTTCTCTACCTGTGATTTTGGGGTTTTAACTCGAGGGTATTGCAGGGAGTGCAAGTGCAACACAACGTTCCTGGAGGAGTGATCGTTAGCAACCAGAGTTTGGTAATACAGCGAGTTCGTCGCCAGCAGACAGGTCTCTATACCTGTGTCGCCTCCAATATAGAGGGCGACGGGCAGAGTAATGCAGTCAGCCTCAAAGTTCAATGTGAGTGTAGCGAAGGTTTACTGTTTGGTTTGTGTGTGTGTGTGTGTGTGTGTGTGTGTGTGTGTGTGTGTGTGTGTGTGTGTGTGTAATTACCTATTGGTGCTTGCGGGAGTTGAGCTTTGGCTCTTTGGTCGGTGGTGTTATGGTGTGTGTGTGTGTGTGTGTGTGTGTGTGTTTAATATCCGCATGCACTTATATCGAGTTACTTTTTTGTTTGATTTTCTCGTGATTTAAAGGGAATATCTTTGTAAGTTGTCTTATGAATTATAAATCATGTACGAACATATATAATTACAAAACATTATAGTGGTGTATACAGATGGGAACTTGACTCCAATAATCATGTAACACATGTCAGTACCGAGAACTCTTAATCAAATACTTGCATCAAACATAAAATACAGATGGTAGTGAATTAGAATTTAACCGTCGGTGTTAGGAAGCTTAAACAACGATCTAGTGAACAAGGAATAGGACGAGAATGTTATCATGGTATGCCAAGCAAAGAATGTCGTACTAAAGTGCCCTTTTCTTAACCTACCAGAAGACCCTAAACAAAAATTGGTACTGTATGTCAATTTCGCGAGCCGCTTCCATTTTCAAATACGATTATTTTTAGCCTTAGGTAGAGTATACGTCAAAATGCGACAATCTGTGGTTTTTCTGTTACAGGAGCTGTGGCTCCTGTAACAGAAATTAAACTCTTCTGGTTATCGATGGGGCTCTGAGTTGATGCGGAAGCAGAGCTGAGAGGAATGAAGACATGTTTGGGAAACTACAATGGTATTATTCAAGTTAATGTAAACTGTTTACAAATTAGGTGCGTAATATGCCTGGAATATCAACAAGAACATGACAGTGGACTGACGAGCAAGTACAAAAGTTTGCAAATTGATTTAATAGTGTGCTCAGTTAAATTTTAAGAATTATTTTTTTTACTCATTTTCAGGAGTGGGATAAAATGAGAGATTTGGTGTGTGTGTGACCTCATAGCTCTTAACCATGTCAGTGATGACTCTCATTCACTCTCGCCATTCTCACTCTCATGTCTCTCTCACCCTCATGTCTCCCTCACTCTCTCACCTTCCTCGCTCAACTCCTACATTTACCTCCCACAGTTATTTACTTCCCTCACTTTCTCAGTCACATTCGCTTACTTCCAGCACTTGGCTCACACTGATCATATCACGCTTGAGTTAGCGTGTTATAGCGTGACGAAAAAAACAAAATGATGACAAGGTGAAAGTTCATGAAGTTTTTCCTGTATTTTCCCCTTAAGTCACCTTCAGCCCGGGATCACACACTATTACCACACGCTAACTCAAGCGTAAATAGCGTGAGCCAAGCGTATATGTTATCAGCGTGAGCCCAGCGCATATACTCTCAGCGTGAGCTAAGCGTGTCTTGTTGTCCGCAGATGCCCCTGTTTGCGCCGCCGGACAGGTGCACGTCTACGGCGCCGCCAAGAACGAAGAGGTCTCCGTCACCTGTCGTTTAGACGCCGTGCCCCCTGTCGTCCATTTCTTCTGGCGGTTCAACAGCAGCGGCGACGTCGTGGACATAGCCGAGAACCACGTGGCTACTCAGGGTCTCCAGTCGTCGCTATCGTACGTGGCTCGTACTGAGCTCGACTATGGCACGCTGCTCTGCTGGGGCAGCAATGCCTTGGGCCGGCAGAGGAAACCATGTGCGTACAAGGTGATCGCCGCGGGGAAACCCAATCCGCCTGAAAACTGCAATCTGACCAATCAGACGACAGAGACACTCAAGGTTCACTGCGTGCCTGGCTACGACGGCGGCCTCCTGCAGAAGTTCATCATCGAGGCTTACGAAGCCGATAGCAATCGTCTGTTGCTCAATATTACGGAAAACTCGGCGCCTGACTTTACCCTACGAGGCCTCGAACCCGGGACCTCGTATGTCGTCCACGTTTACGCCGCCAATGAGAGGGGACCAAGCGAGAAGAAGATCCTGACCGGTTATACCATTAAGGATATGGCGGAGCGACGCACGGCCCAAGTTCGACCCCCGCCGGAGGAGTTGGTGCCCATTACCCCGATCCTAGCGGTCGTGGTAGGGGTCGTTGGCTCCCTGGTACTGGTGGCCGTCGTGGCGGTCGTTGTGGTAAGTCTCAAAAAGAAACGACGGCCAAGGAGTAAGAATGTCACGCTGCCCATTCAGACGTCGCTGACGGACACACGCGACCTAGACGACAAGAATCCTGACCTCATCCCCGCAAACGGTGAGTTAATTGTTCATTTGGGGGTAATATTTAAATATAATCGATATGGGGCAGTAATTATTGTAATTTAATTTAAAAGATTGACAACAATTACATTCATTAATTTAATTTAGATTATGATTATTAAATAATTATCACAAACATATTTTTATGATTACTTCCATTACTTCACAAGATGAATATGTACATATTCTATAATGTATGAACATAATATTATGAACATATAATATAATATGTATATAATACATGTACATATCGTAATATCGAATTACATCGTAATTCTGTGGCGCGGGTTCGATTCCCGCACGAGGCAGAAACAAATGGGCAAAGTTTCTTTCACCTTGAATGCCCCTGTTACCTAGCAGTAAATAGGTACCTGGGAGTTAGTCAGCTGTCACGGGCTGCTTCCTGGGGGTGGAGGCCTGGTCGAGGACCGGGCCGCGGGGACACTAAAGCCCCGAAATCATCTCAAGATAACCTCAAGATAACATATGTTGATGAGATATACTCATCGACATATATCAGTTGAATTCTTTGACTCATAAAGCAGCAAATTATATAATGGCACATATTACCGATCAAAGCACTTGGGCTGGACGGTAGAGCGACGGTCTCGCTTAATGCAGGTCGGTGCTCAATCCCCCGACCGTCCATGTGGATGAGCATCCCTCCTCCCCCCCCCCTCCCATCGAACTCTGGACTCTTCAAACCCACACACACACACACACACACACACACACACACACACACACACACACACACACACACACACACACACACACACACACACACTGATCCACTACGAACTTTTTCCTCAAAGATACAGACACACATTGCGGTGATCCCCTCCGAAGAACCTTGTAAAACATATTCCCTAATGATAACCCGCAAATTTAAGGTCGAACAGATGTGACAGCCCCGTCTCCTCTCGCTTACAGGCAACGGTGAGGCGGAGGGCAAGAGCCCCACTACCCCAGAGGAAGGCGGCTTCGGCAGTGTCCATATCTGTGCCTCCGTTCCCTACCCCAGCAACGTCTATGGCACGTATCCCAGGACGCCCCGGACCATGGCTGTCACCAATCCTCAGGTAGGTGGTCATTGGCATTGAGAAGGACCCAAGGGGGAGGCTGGGGGGGTATGGACGACCTAGGAGATTTCTGGGGCATGGAGAATCTGGGGAGGGGGGGAGAAGATAAGGGCGAGGAGACCCTGGGGAAGATTGGGGCAAGGAAGATGTAACGAAAGACGGAGCAAGTCGTTCGAGCCACTACGACAAAAGCTCTGGAAACTCTGTTAGGGTTTCCAGGAGAGTTTAGAGATATTCTCGAGCACAGCTTAGTTAAGATGGAGCGACGCATATTAAAGACGACATGCAAGGTTCTGTAGAATGAAACTTTGATCAATGGGATAAAGTTAGCTTTAAGGTGTAAGCTGGATGGTATAAAGTCTAAACAAAAGTCTCAAGAGACTAACTTACCTTTGGATAAAGACGAGAACTCGAGAGTTGGAGGCTTGAAGGAGTATTAGAATAGGTCGAAATGTGAATAGGACCAGATTGGGGTGTGAATAGTACTAGATCGGAGTGTGAATAGAACCAGATTAGGTCGTGAATAGGATCAGATCGGAGTGTAAATAGGACCACATTGGAGTGTAAATTGGAGTAGATCGGAGTATGAATAGTGAATGTAATCACAAGAGATGCCACTACAGAAAGTACAGACCTCCATGTATCCTTAGAAGTGAAGAGTACAACATAACTTTAATTGAAGGCAGAACCTGTATTCTGAGGTACAATGAGTGTTGAATGTACATCTGATGTGGCGGTACAGGTCACTGTACTGAATGTGAACAATAGAGTGAATATCAAACAGTAAACAAGAATGTAGACGGTACAGTGAATGTCGACGGAACATTGTGTATCAACGGTGTAGTGAATGACTCTAGCTCACTACCTGTAAGATCAACAACAATAGAGAGGCAGCAAGCCAGCCAGGATCAACATGAAGGTAGTGTAGTGATCGTATTTTGGCTAGAATGGGGGTGCGAGATTGGCCCCTGAGGCTGACGCGGCGCTCAGCCTGGCATGGAAGGAGAGGGAATTGGCTACTGGAAGGACAGAGGTGTTTGCAGGATTAGAATCTGGCGAACAGAACGCCTGATGAGAACGGAATGTGGAAGGAGTTGATCAGGAGAGAGAGATGCAGAGTGGCTTAAGGACACGGAGATGGCTGGAATAGTGGGGATTAGCGGGAGATGGAGCAGGAGCAGCTAGGGATATATTCAAAAGGAAGTTTATTAGTAGAAAGGAACTTTGAAAAAGAGCTCAGTGAGCCCCCCTCCTCGAATTGAGAATAAGATCTTCAATGGAAGGCTTTGAAGATGGGTAGTCAGGATTATACTCATCCAAAGGTTGAAAGTGGAAGTCATTGATTAGTAGGGAAGTTCCCTGAACTTGGGGTGACCTAAAAATATATATATGTTAAATTAATTGCAAATTCTAATAGCAGTAGACAAATCTGATTATATTACAAATGTTATCCCCATAAAGTTGTGTTTTATTTTTTCAATTATATCGAGTGTAGACGTAATCTTCCTGATCAGTGTGGCAGTTGTATTATAAACCTCTGTTTTGCCAAGGGCTTATATATGCATCATATTGGCGCCGTTATGTTTATGTATACAGAATTATAGTCACTAGCCACGCCAAAAAATATGTTTCATATACTAGCTATTACTCGCAATCATTAACCAAGTATATTTTTGTCTCTGGTACAGAACGGGGAGCTGATGTATGCCGAACTGACGTTTCCTCGTGGCGGCCAGTACCCGACCACTACGCTCTCCCGACGCAAACCTGAACCGACCATTTACGCTCAGATAGATCACGTGATGCCAGGTGCTCCTGTTTCCATGGGCGTCGTTCCTGTGAGCGGCGGCGGGATGGTTTGCAGTTCCTCTGGCGGCCTGATGGCTGGTAATCTGGGCGGCAGCGTGGCTGGAGTAATGGGCGGCACCATGGCTCCAGGAATGGGTGCTGGGGTAATAGGTGGAGGTGTTTGTCCTAGCAGTAGTGCCAGCCTGGTAATCAGTTCGATGTGCCCTCCAGCGCCCTTGATTGGGGATCTGGATAGGATTGCCTACACCACGCCCACACCGCCGCCCCATGGGTTCGGCGGCCATCCTCTGACCCCGCCTGTTCTACCAGAAGAGGAAGATCAGGTCACAGTGGAGACTCCTCTCATGAACAGTCACAAAGAAAGTGACGTGTGACCCCATGCCACTGACCTGGCCCTACGGCCAATGTCTCCAAGGGATGAATTGTCTTAGTCCACATATGACGTGTTGTTCCTCGCAACGGGACGTTATGCTGAATCCTGTTGATCGATGCTAAACTTCATCAACAGTCACCAGAAGATTAATTTATTGTCTAAATTGAAGTCAATGCGACGTCAGATCCAGTGTGTTAGCTCACGATATCATTAACGACTCAGATCAGCGCTGGTGCACTCAGTATGTCGCGGTTGACGAGGTGATGACATTCAAAATGAACCGGTGATTGGCATATTTCATTATAAATGCATTTCGTAAATAATCAGAGTGACAGCTGACTCATTTTGCCCAAATCAAACTTGAAGCCTCGACCCCTTGAACTTGCACGCACCAGTCGTGAAGACTTCCGTCTGTTGGCTTCCTAAGCACTTGACTTTTCGGAGTTAGTCAAGCGGTTAGTTCATCCTCCTAACAGAACGAATTCTGTGCTGATTAACCGAGCCGCCGAGTGAGCGATGTAAATACAAGAACGAACTATAAGTGGAGTGGTGAATGGACCAATTTGAAATTGTTGGTTAAATATTTTAGGAAATTGAATGAGACCAAATTTCTTTACATACACTGAATGTGCGACAAGAAATCTGAGTGACTTCACTCTAAAAAATACAGCAGGAATCGTTCCAATTTTGTCCATCATTAAATAACAGATAAAGACAAAGTTGTTTAATAAATTGAATATTATCAAGAACTTTCTAATTGATCACACTGAGACCTGTGCAATAGCAACACTCCCTCGTAATATACTGAACAAATCTACGGATCATGGAACTACACATGTATACTCTCAAGTTTAACAGAACATTGTTAACTGTATCTTTGAGTGTTCTGAAGGTATACTAGACGAGGTTACTGTGTCAGCCTTACTTCCAGGCTCGAAGCAGGCTAATCTAGCAAGTAATTCATTATGATCCAGAACTAATCTCTTACAAATCTGTGAAATATTAAGGAATATTACAAATCAATTTTTTTAACAACATTAGAGTATTACGAGAAGTTGAGAAACAATTTCTAATTACAATTACAGAGTTTATTGGTGTGAAAGGTGAAGTGTAATGGTTTGTGTCGTCACTTGGAAATCTTGCTGATTAAGTGCTAATTAAGTGAATGTCCAGTCAGTGACAGTGAGTCCAAGAAAAGTGGTAACCAGTTTATTCGTTTCTACACGCTGTACACTGTCATTTAAGGAGTGCAGCTTCCTCATTGTGGTCCAGTGACCCAAGCCAAGCCAGGTTCAGGATACAAGGTCAGAGGTCACGCTGAAGGGAGTGAGAGGTTTGCATTGTACCAATGCTTTTAGCTGGAGTAGTTTTTGTACATAAAATCAATGATGTCTTTTTCAAAACGTAAATAGTACTAAAAAAAACATATATTGAATCTCAATCAAAAACAGTCACAAGTTTGTCGTGGTGATATAACTGAAAAAACCAATCACGCCAGAAATTTATATTTCTTGGGAATAACAAATCTTCCATTTATGTGCGATTTTTAAACTGACGTGAACTGTGTTATAAAATGAGACAGTGTCTCGACGTTCTAATGTGACGACGTGTGAAACGTTTACTTGGTGCTGGCCATCTTACAAGGCCCCAGAATCTTCACTGTCTACGTCAAAAGTATTTTGACGTTCAGATAAACGTGGAATATAAACTCTCAATGATGCTGTTGACAAGTAGCGGCACGTAAATTTCAGATGTTTAATAAAGACTATTTTGTTTCTCCTGCATTTTGATTGTGGTTTTGGCGCAGGAAAGATAAAACAAGATAAAAAGATAAAGCAATATATATATATATATATATATATATATATATATATATATATATATATATATATATATATGCGGAAAATCCACAGAGAAATATGAAATGAGGTGAACGTTTCGGCTTGTTAAAGCCTTTGTCAACAACACTTGACAACTAACAAGCCGAAACGTTCACCTCATTTCATATTTCTCTGTGGATTTTCCGCATAAAATGATCAGTGTTTTGTGATCGTCAATTGCATATATATATATATATATATATATATATATATATATATATATATATATATATATATATATATATATATATTCTTAGTTAATTCAGTCCTGAACATAGTGTACTTGATAGATGGTCAGTAAGCAATTGAGGTGGCCTTAATAACCCTCCAGGAGGTTGAAAGACCTTCAATCCAAAAGTGAAATTAAACTATTGAAACAGTTCTGCAGATAATGCATATTGATATGAAAGGGAAAAAGGAGAACACATATTATTACATGTGAAAAAAGATAAGATAATAAGAAGAAGCAGAGAAATGGCAGCAAAATACAAAATAATTTAATCATTTTTATTCTGTGATTCACATTGTCATTTAAATTCTCACACATGGAATTATATATTGATTATATATAGGATTTTGCACGTTCAAATGAGCAGATTCGCATTTCATAGGAGTAATCAATATCAGCACATACAATATCAGAAAACACACACATTCACAATATTATATATATATATATATAATATATATATATATATATATATATATATATATATATATATATATATATATATATATATATATATATGTCGTACCTAGTAGCCAGAATGTACTTCTCAGCCTACTATGCAAGTCCCGATTTGCCTAATAGGCCGCGAGTTTTTCTTCATTTTCAATAAATTATTTCCAATTAGTTCATTTGAATTGTTACTATTATATTATATTAAGAACATAAATTATTGACTTAGTTATGTTAGTTTAGGTTAGGTTAAGATAGGCTAGGTTAAAATAGGTTACGATAGGTTAGGTTAGGTTAGGTAGGATAGGTTAGGTTTGGTCATATATCTACGTTAGTCTTAACTCAAATTTAACAAAATTAACTCTTACATTATGAAATATGTAGCTTTATCATTTCATAAGAAAAAAAATTGAAAAATATATAAATTCAGGAAAACTTGGCTTATTCGGAAAATCGGGTCTTGCATAGTAGGCCGAGTACTGCGTTCTGGCTACTAGGTACAACATATATATATATATATATATATATATATATATATATATATATATATATATATATATATGTCGTACCTAGTAGCCAGAACTCACTTCTCAGCCTACTATTCAAGGCCCGATTTGCCTAATAAGCCAAGTTTTCCTGAATTAATATATTTACTATAATTTTTTTCTTATGAAATGATAAAGCAACCCTTTTCTCTATGTATGAGGTCAATTTTTTTTTATTGGAGTTAAAATTAACGTAGATATATGACGGAACCTAACCAACCCTACCTAACCTAACCTAACCTATATTTATAGGTAAGGTTAGGTTAGGTAGCCAAAAAAAGCTAGGTTAGGTTAGGTTAGGTAGGTTAGGTAGACGAAAAAACATTAATTCATGAAAACTTGGCTTATTAGGCAAATCGGGCCGTGAATAGTAGGCTGAGAAGTGCGTTCTGGCTATTAGGTACGACATATATATATATATATATATATATATATATATATATATATATATATATATATATATATATATAGATATATATATATGTATATATATATATATATATATATATATATATATATATATATATATATATATTTATATATATATATATATGAACGACCAGGTGGGGGAGAAATTTAACATATCAGATAAAGTATGCAATGAGCTGAACATTTATTGTCAGAGGCAGGCAAGTCTCAATCAGGTTCAGACAGAAGTAATCAAAATATATTGCTAAGCGATGTTTCCTTTATATACGAGGTGGCGTTCTAATCACTCTCATAAGGGATCGTAGATATGGATGCCACAAACATTAATTAATACGGATCACACATAAGTACTATTTCATGCCAGCTAATTTAAAGTTCAAGCTAAAAATAAAAGTGTATAACATTATTTAATATGTATATTATATAAGATATATATATTGATATCGTCGCTATATATTGTACCTAATAGCCAAAAATCACTGCTCGGTCTAGTATGAAATGCCCGATTTGTCTAATAGGAAGAGTAATTTTTATATTTTCATAAACAAGTTTCCAATTGGTTTATTTGAACTAATATTATATAATATTAAAAACATGAATTACTGACTTAGTTATGTTAGTTTAGGTTAGGTTAAGATAGGTTAGGTTTGGTCATATTTCTACGTTAGTTTTTTCTTAAAATAAAACAAAAATGATCTTATATCTAATGTAATGGAAAACTTTATCATTTCATTAGAAAAACAGTTTGAAAAATATATTAATTCAGGATAACTTGGCGTATTAGGCAAATCGGACCTTGCATAGTAGGCCAAGTAGTGCGTTCTGGCTATTAGGTACTTTTGGTACTATATATATATATATATATATATATATATATATATATATATATATATATATATATATATATATATATATATATATATATGTCGTACCTAGTAGCCAGAAAGCACTTCTCAGCCTACTATGCAAGGCCCAATTTGCCTAATAAGCCAAGTTTTCATGAATTAATTGCTTTTCGACCACCTAACCTACCTAACCTAACCTAACCTAACTTTTTCGGCTACCTAACCTAACCTATAAAGATAGATTAGGTTAGGTTAGGTAGGGTTGGTTAGGTTCGGCCATATATCTACGTTAATTTTAACTCCAATAAAAAAAATTGACCTCATTCATAATGAAATGGGTAGTTTTATCATTTCATAAGAAAAAAAATAGAGAAAATATATTAATTCATGAAAATTTGGCTTATTAGGCAAATCGAGCCTTGCATAGTAGGCTGAGAAGTGAGTTCTGGCTACTAGATACGACATATATATATATATATATATATATATATATATATATATATATATATATATATATATATATATATATATATATATATATATATATATGTCGTACCTAGTAGCCTGAGAAGTGCGTTCTGGCTATTAGGTACTTTTGGTACTATATATATATATATATATATATATATATATTATATATTCTTTTTAATTCGTATATACTCACCTACACCTACTAATAATAGATGTTCAATGATTTTCAGTTGTTTTTAAATTAATATTTCTGAGCCAATATTACCTCGAACGGACGGGCATCGTGGCTGAGCGCCTCTGCCCGTCATATTCACGATTCTAGTCGACGTACGCGTGTACTGCCCCTTTGCCAAGCGTAAATCAATTAGCATATTCATTCATGTTGATTTCTGCCGCTTCTCCGTCCTCAGTGTGTGTGTGTGTGAGAGCGCGGATGCACGCTAGCCTGGGTAGAATAGATTATACCGTCTATTATTTCATTATATCTATCACGATTTTATTTTTGTTTACTAATGTTGAATGTTGGGTTAGTTATTCGTCGTTATCGGTGTCAAGTACATGATTACTTTCATGGTTTAGCTGCTCTTCTATTTGTCTTTATCTGTAATGTACTGTTTTTTAGTGCTTTCTGATAATATCCCCTTTCTCTCTCTCACTCCCTCTCTCTCTCACTCTCTCTTTTTTCTCTTTCACTCTTTCTCTCTTTCCCGCAATTAATACACATTTCGTTTAACATGGCATTAAAAATTTTAATTCATTGGGATTTGCCTTCCTAAATTACAGCACGCACGGATACGCAGATTGAACACATCTCAGTGTATATACACTGAAAGTTTATTATTTTCCTGAATGGCATTCACTTACTGTTGCTTACTGACTGTTGGCCAGTAAGCTATTTAGGAGGCCTTAACTGCCTTCCAGTGATTGATAGACCTGGAAGCCCAACACTAAATCCATCCTCATTTTCCTTAGTATTATAATTATTAAATAATGTTTTGTGTTAACTTCTGGGCTGTTTTACGCCACTCTTCATGTTCCTCTCACACCTAAAGACTTTAATTCTCTTACATTTTCGTTGGTTTGGCTGAGGTTATATATTTTGGCTTGTTTAAGATATTCAGTTTCAACGTTAAGGCGTCAATAAGTGAGTGGTTCGCTGAAATCGCTTATGGATTGGGTAAACCATTTTTGTTCTGTACTTATCTCGGAATGACTGGGAAACCGGACATCGTTCCTGTCTACATGACTGGTTACACGTTGATAGGTTGGTAGGTGAATACAGCCGGTGAGTAGGTGAGGTACACGCTAGCCACCTTTATTTTATAAATAAACATATATATGTAAATGTATACAGCAATGATAAATGATACAGAATCCTTGGTGTGCAGAATAACCACAATGAAATTTGAATTGATAACACCTAAATTTAAAATTTCATTGTTGTCATTCTGCTATATTATATTTATATATATATATATATATATATATATATATATATATATATATTTATATATATATATATATATATATATATATATATATATATATATGTCGTACCTAATAGCCAGAACGCACTTCTCAGCCTACTATTCAAGGCCTGATTTGCCTAATAAGCCAAGTTTTCATGAATTAATGTTTTTTCGTCTACCTAACCTACCTAACCTAACCTAACCTAGCTTTTTTTGGCTACCTAACCTAACCTTACCTATAAATATAGGTTAGGTTAGGTTAGGTAGGGTTGGTTAGGTTCGGTCATATATCTACGTTAATTTTAACTCCAATAAAAAAAAATTGACCTCATACATAGAGAAAAGGGTTGGTTTATCATTTCATAAGAAAAAAATTATAGTAAATATATTAATTCAGGAAAACTTGGCTTATTAGGCAAATCGGGCCTTGAATAGTAGGCTGAGAAGTGAGTTCTGGCTACTAGGTACGACATATATATATATATATATATATATATATATATATATA